TTTTGTTCGACGCGACTCATGGCGCGCCGAGTATAAACAAATAAGATTTTTATCACATACATATGACATAAAAATAATGCATATACTTCGTATTATACATTACACTTGTATGCATGACTGTGATAAGTAAAACTGGATACCATTACGTGATAAACGTGATGGGCTAAAAACATGCGAAAATTGACAAAAAGGTTGATAAATTCAAAAGGATTGGAAACAGGACGTAATATGTTTATAAATTGTTCAGCTTTACTATTTTGCGAATTTTTAGTGGAGTCACAGCCAGAATTTTGGCTTGACTGGTTACTAAGAAATAAACAAAGGATATAGTAGCTGAAGAATTTCCCGAAAAATTTCGATAACTCAGCTCTAGTTCGGTTCCGCAATTTCCCACACGTATATTTCTTTCCGGGAGACTTCACAAATATACTGACACTCTTGAGTCATCTACAATGCTAAATAAGTTCAAACGAAGCGTGCTGCACCATGTGTAGCACGCGGCCATACAGAGGCAAACGAGCGTGCTGCACATGGTGCAGCACGCGGTACGCAATGGGTTAAGGCAATTTGTGTTAGACTGTGTTCAAGCTTTTAGTCGGCGTTTGAGCGTTACGGAACGAGAAGGAAGGTATAAGTACTGATTTAACGTTTTGAGCATTTTGAGCGAAAAATGCTCGAAACACTAAATCGATGCCTATACATCTCGTTCGCTGCGGATGAAGGTGTGGTCAGTGGGGCTGGGTTTGCGCACTACCAGCCCATTTTCTTCCAGGCTGGAGCAAGCGACAACTATTGGTGAAAAATGATGCGAACCATATGCTGTGGTCTTATCGCTTACCGAAAGAAAAAATAGAAGAAACGAGCTGACGCCGCGCCAAACCCATGCGCTCTTGACACACTCCCTCATTCGCAGCAAACAAGACTGTGCCTTACTTTTCATCCAAAGCAGTCTCAACGCACACGAAAAGTTTTGACGCAGCATTAGTGAGCTAATCCTCAAAAATTTCTTTCTTACCAGGTCTTACTCGTGATTGCTTCATTTCTTTTCTATCGCCATTCGAAATGTGCTTTCCAGTGGATAGGAAATGCCATCGAAGAGTCGTAGTGGTTCGAGCGATGGAGACGTTCCTTCACCAAAGTCTTCGCGTTCTAGAAGTCATAGCGCCTCCGAGAAAAGCGATGTTCCATCACCGAAATCAGACAACGGGGTAACGAAGAGCACACGCGAAAAAGTGAGTCCTAGTATTTCTAAGTCTTCATTTTCTCTTCTGAACATCTTTTGGATTTGTTAATTTTTCATGTGCTTATAGTCATGTAAAGCGAAAATTGTTAGAAACCACATGGAAGCAGATTAGCTGTAGTAGCAAATGACTTGCTTATCCCGCGCGCGGCCCGGTACCCGAACTCCGGCTCAGCCCAATCATGCCTCCTACCCTTCGGGGACGTGAACTGGTACCGGATACACTCGGGAGGAATGAAACAACGACTTGGTTGACAACTCAGTGTATAGGCAATATCGTATTCATTGTGCCGTCACCTAGGCAGAAGTAGTATTGTGGGATTGATTGATCATGAGGGGAAAAAGGATTGATCAACGACGACGGCTTTAGTCCACCATTATGGTCTGTCAGCAGGAAGCACTTGCTATTTATTCTGCGCTTGCACTTTACAATACCTGAGCTGAAAGTTAAATAGCTTTCCTTATTCAAAAACTTTGGTGGACTCGAGTTAGCTGCCTCTCTGGATTATATCGAGTCAACCTTCATCTCACCACCAGTGATATATACACGAAGGCACGGCCACATTTATTAAATGTGCACCCTCCTTCGACAAGGGAGTTTTGTCCGTGAGCAGAAAACAGTGTACCACTGTCACGGCTCAAAAACACGTGGTAAGGATGCCATCCAATCGCGACTAAGGCAATGCTCCGCCCACTCCCCATGCTTCAGCCAGCGGTCATTACTAATGGCACTCAATGCTGTGGCTGTTCCCACCAACTCTTTCCATTCCGTATGGTGAAATGATTGATAATGGGAAACTGTTGATAGCGTTCGATACTAACAAATGAAAGCTCGCAGAAGTACGCCTTTTCTTCGCTTTTGGTTCGTGCTTTACGCTTGGCTTCTATCCTGAAAGCATCTCTGTAAGTTTTTTTACTCACGTTTGAGTCTATCACCGCCTTAACAAGTACTTCCCGCCCACCCCATTTCTAAGCGCCTAAGTGTCTTGCCTTCAATCGATTTGCTCACCCGACTTTGGTCGACGAAGTAGCACGGGACCGTCTGAGGAAGGGGTAAAAGGAACCATCTATTTTCTTGAAGTTCGCTTACTTTCAAGAGCATCTGTTTTCCTGTTTGTAAATCCCGGATTGCAAAGATTCAACCGAAGTTAGACGTTCCCTCCCCTGTAATTATGTTGAAACGGACCCAAAGACTTTCCGGCAGACCGGCCCTCACTATTATCGCTGAGGCATCCCAGCCCATGCTCATTCTGTTTGACTTTGTTCGTTATATGGTAACATATTACAGTCGCGCAGCCCTTTCCAAAGTTCGAAAGCCAGAAGGAAGGTCTGAGTCACCAAGGCGAAGCAGAACACGGGTGAGTCATTACTTGGAAGAAAATGCTTCGCCACATCACCATAGTCGAGGGAGAGAGAATGTATGAAACTCATGGGTCTCCCGAGCCAACTATGGTGTTTAGCTTGAATGCCAGCTCACCCCCGGCTTGTCTGATCAAGGGAGTGAGCAATTTTTTACGCTCTAGACTTCACCTTCGTTTTTGCGTTATCATCGCCATCGGTTTGTTGTGAGGCATCAAAATATGAGCGTGGTCTGAATGTGTTTGCCATCGCATAAAAGTGGAAGTCGCAATAAAAGGCAGTGCTGATGATTTTTTTTCACATCTTTTCTCCCTAATGTGGGACAGAGAGAGTTTTTTTTCTGTTCGGATCGTTTGAGAAGGACGAGATGTCTTCATTGAAAAAGAAAACAGCGGCTACTGTTTGAGCGGATAGCTTTCCATATGTATGAAGAGCAGAGCTAGTTGTAGTACCGCTGTTCTGTTGGACGGGATTTGTGGAAATTGACGGAAACTTGCAATTTCCTGTAGACATTAGGCTGCATTCGTGATTTTCTGGGCGCTCCGAACGTTTAAGCCGAAAAACATAGTGTAGTTGTCGATCCAGTGTTTTGTGCATTCTGAGCGTGTTGAGCGTTTTGTGCGAAAAGGAAAGTATAGGTATCGGTCGGCGCTCACAAAGCTCAAAACGTTTCTTCCAAAGCGGTAGACTGATACCTGTACATTCCTTTTCGCCCAAAACGTTCAAAACGCTTGAAGCATTCGGAACGCCGAAGAAAAGTATGAAGGTAGTTTTGGCTTGCGGACATTTATCTTATAAAACGTTAACTTCGTATCAAACATTAATGTTATTTTAAATTACAGTCTCGAAGTCGCAGTCCTAAGACAGACAGAAGAGGACGATCAAGGTCACCAAAGCGGTCTTACGCTAGAGTGAGTTCTTTTTCAGATACAAGCTAGTAAGATTTTATTTTCTTCGGGGTTTTTTTTACGATGTTATGCAATCCGCTTATCGTCCGATTAGTTCTGAACTCTTTGTCATAGCCTACAATCACTTCAAGGGTGAGCACCTTTAGTTGGGGTAGCATACGGTAAGATACTGTAGCCACCACCTAGCGCATATCCCGAGGCCTGCCTGCGGCATGACCTCACTTAATTGCTGCGCTGACTGCTGACCTCTCACTGGCTGCTCAACGAAACGAGATAATAACGACGACTATTCACAAGGTTGAATGTTAATCGAATTCGTTAATAGGATTCATTTGACAGTTGGATTTGATATGATAAAATCAGTAATTTCCTAATTCTATGAATATTGGGTTGAGGATAAATGTTCGCATCGAAGAGAAACGTGTTGAAATTTTTAATGTTTCTGTTTTTAGGTGTACCCATACATCGAATGACCTTCCAAAGGCAAATTCTCTCCGATTCTCCCGATACTCTACACGTTTCTGCTGTTCTACCACCGCAATCACTCTACACGGACAGCTTCTACATGGCTCCTCCGCCGATGAATCATCTTCACACCAGTACCGTCCCAAGCCTTAT